GTACAGTATCTGCTCGTCCTTTCCCCTGAGCGGGTCCTGCTCACTTGTGTTTTATAGATTTGCTTTTATTGTGCGGTATTTATTGCGGTATTCGCCGGCAGACTTTTTCTGCGCCCATTTCTTGTTGCCCGAAATCGCGGCAAAATTCAAGCCGAGTGCCTGGCAATGGACGTGGATGGCGATGGCTGAATTATTTTCGGGGCAGGGGTCCGGGCCATAAGCCGCTTAAATTGGTTGGCCTTTTTCTGGGCCAATTTTTCTGTTTCGTTTTCATTTTTGTGCCGAGTTTTGGATTTCGTCGGCTGTAAAAGTTTTGCCGCGCTGGTTATAAAAATTGTTAATTAAGTTAAGTTTGAAATGTTGTTTTACGGCTCTGTTGCGCCCCTTTTTATGGGTGTGGCTTGTTCGGTAATGAAGGCAATGAAACGGGTGTGCGGTTTAATTTAATTCTCGGCCGGATTTGGTTGTAGAGCCCCCAGCCACTGTTTTGCCAATCGAATTTGGGTTATATGTTGATCGCCTTTCGTTCGAATGGCTAGGAAAGAAAAGCAAACGGGTAAAGCTGCTCCCTGAGTCGCTGAAATTTTCCACACACCTCGCACAAAGACGATCCCCGTGTTAGTTTTGGCAACATCATTAGGGACTTCCCCGCCCCCAGTTGGGGCTCTGAGCACCTGCCGAGTGTGTTTACCTGAGCTCGCTGCCTGTTTTTGTTTGCTTGTTTATCCCGCCATCGCAGGCGCAAATCCTGCAAATGGCGCATTGTGTTGCTTATCTGCCGGAGAAAGCAGAGAAAGCAGTGAAAGCACAGAAAGCATAGAGGCGGAGGCAACGCACCGCGAAGAAGTGCTTACATTTGCGCAAATGCAGCACAACAAACACAGGCAAACAAGGACAAACACTGGGAGTTGAGGAAGACGTTGGCTCTGTTATTTAAATAAATCGTTGCATACTTTGTGGCACGCCTTGTGTGGCGGTGGGCGATGGGCGATGGGCGTGGCCCGGGAGGGCGAGGGGCAGAGCGGGGTGGCAGTGGAGTGGATACGGAGTGAAACTTTAAATCTCATTTGAATTATTATGGCGGAAAAAACCGCTCGACAGTTGCGATGTTCGCTCTTTGTCTGCATTCTCTTGCATACTTTATGGCGTTTTAAGTGCTGCGACGATTTTGCAAATGCTGCAGAATGTGTAGTTGTTGCCACGGGCCTGTCGCTTGTTGCCTGTCAGGCGTAATGCGCCCAGTTAAATGAAACTATGCAACACTCCGCATTACTTTCCGCTCCTGACCCAATTTCTCCCGCCGGATAGCGGATGAGTAATTAAACAAGCGACTGACATCCGGCCAAAGGCCGATCATTCCGAATATGAGAGGCATCGGGCTTTCGTTTCACCAGTCGAGCGGTAAGCCGAGCTTGAAACGCGCTAATTTGCACAAGGGAGTGCTGGTCGGAATTTCGAGGGCCTCATTGAAAACAAACACCCCGGGGATCCCACTACAGGTTAATCAAAATGATACGACTGTGAAATTATTAAAAATATTTCAAGAGGCCTGGGGAGCGAAAGTGAAAGCCCTCCGAAGCTCCTCGATGTAATATCAGCGGTTTGCAGTCACTTGATTCCGTTCTCGTCATAATTTATAAAATCGGGGTTGACTTCCATAGATTCCCACACGCCATTAGCTGCTCGTGCTATTTCGCGCTATTCCAGAACCTCAAAGCGGTTTCGGGCAACTAACCGACCACTTTAAGCTGCCAGAAACCGCAACTTCCGCCACCTTCAGCCCCTCCCCTAAGGGGATTCAAGTCAGGATGCCACTTGATCATTAACAGTGAATGTGGCCGCCGAGTGGGGTGAGAAGGGGCGCCAAGCACGGGAGCTGCACTATTTAACAGCTTCGAGCAATTGCAAACGTAAATCAAACGCCACATTTTGCTGTGGCACCATCGCGGCTCCGCCATTCACTCCATGCTTATTTTATTTGTAATTTTTAAAAGCGTGAAACTTGGGTGGGTTGCCCAGGCAGAGAGACATGCTACACTGACAAAAAACTAACCCATTTTAAATAGCAATCGTCAACTATTTTTAATTTTAGCTATCTATAGGTATGCTTTGGATATAGTCATCTTTCTAAAAGGACTTAGGTTTGAAAAAAACAGTTATTTTCTGACTGAGAAATACAAGTTTCCCGTAACTTTTATTTATCGACTTTTAAATAAACGTCTAAAGTAAATAAGCTGTAAGTAAAAATAACTGTTATTCGAACGCTTTTACTGAAATGATCAAAAATGTTTACGTCTAATAAACTGTTGGAATTCGGTTGGTTCCTTTTGTTCTAAAGAATTCGCGGATTCATACTTGGGGAATTAAACTTTCAAATATATCGTTACATACTTTTATACACCTGATTATATTGTATGTGGGGCACCAACCTTAAATTGTCATTTCGATGTTTTTTTTAATTCTTTAATTAGACATTTGTCATGCGACAAGTACAGAGTTAACCATCATCCAACGTTAGACGTCGGCTTTTACAAGAAATTGCTACGTTACATATGAATCCCAGTCTCTTTTGATTTCATAAAATCATAAAATAATGTAGTTTACGTCCGAAGTCTATCGGCCATCCTCTAAAACGAGTATATGTCTGTATAGTAAAGATGCGTGGTCGAAGATTCACTCACGGCATGGCAGAGTCCTCCGCACCGTGTCACGCCCACATCCCTGGCGGTCGAAGAAGGGGGATAGAGGTCTCCATTGGCATGCAGTGCAGTGCAGCTGGCACTCCTGGCTAGGAAGAGCAGGGAGCTGCCAACTGTTGGATGGTGCTCCTGCACAAGCTCACACAATTTTGATTTATTATTTTGATTCCTGTTACTTTACTACCTGCCAGGATGCAGCCAGGAACTGCCCCTGCGCCTCCCCCAGCCACATCATTGTATCCAGAGCTCGGTAGTCGTCGAAGCTGTTCTTTATTTTTATTCACACGGTTTCTGGTTTTATTGCTCCAATTACTTCATGTACTACTCGTTTTCCCGCCCTCCCCTCTTGCCGGTCGATGGGTGGCACTCGAGAAGATTTAATATTTTCCTCTTCTGCTTTCTTTTTACTGTTTTAATTTATCGCGTTTGCAGCGCTTTCGAAGGATTCTCTGGGGCAAAGGAGTACAAATCAAGCCCGATAAGAAATTCGTTTCAAAATTTTCCTTATCGATCAGTTACACTGATGTAAGGAGTTAAGTTTGGTTGAGCCATGGAATGTAGTTAATCCCATTTGAGAAGGGCATTTTTAGCGAAAACCATCCTTCACAGCTCTTTCAGCAACTTGAAGGGGCACAGCCAGCAACAACTTGATACCAATTAAGCACTCACAATCATATGCTGAAAGGTTGGAGCCCTCCATTCCGCAATTCCTCCCTTCGCAAAGCCATTTGGCGCTGGGTTTCCCCTCGACACCTGTTCCTGCTGCGGCTCCTCTCGCCGAGATGCAGTATGCAAACGCTTAACTGCACATAAAATATACAAAACTAACTTAGTTCGCGCATATCGCAGGGCATAACTCAGGGCCACCCGGCTCCACCTTGTTTCCCAGCGAACCCTTGCAGCGTGTGCCACTTGCCATTTGTAACCGACTGCACAAAAACAAAACCAGTGACAATAAAGGGCGAAAGGAGCCCCTAACGAGCTTCACTGGAGCTTCGCTGGAGCAGAGATTGCCCTGAATCTGGGCATTGGCTTTTCGCCGGGGTCACCTGAAACTCGCGACCGGCGGAAGATCTTTAACTCGAATGGGGATTGAATAATTCCACTCTCGCCGAGATCCTGCCGGATTTGATCTGCGCCGTTCGCGCCGTGGACACCGCTTAGATGCTCTAAGCATTACCATATCAAAGATATGTATTTTTAAATCCCCACTCGCATCGCACTCCGCTAATGGCAACTGCTGAGTGGATGCAACAAAGCGAGTGCACTCTGCGGGGCGTGTAGTGGGGCAAAGGGCTTCGACTGGGCTGGGTTATGTATAAATTCATAAAGGGAGCCACAGGAATGGGGGCGAGGAGGGGAATGGCGTCGAGAACCACTGTGACTGCGACTGCCACTGCGACTGCGGCAACATGTTGTAATTGCGTATTTTATAGATATGCGCGGTCCTTGCGAGAGAAGGAAGGAGTGGGCGGCTGTTGTATCTGCCATTCGCTCTGTTTGCTTTTGTTTGGTGCGGAAATGGCAGCCGGTGTGCAGCGGAATATGGCAGTAAGAGCAACAACATCACGCATACGCCATGTTGCGCCATTTGAAGTTGTTGGCGTATACGTAATTTTTATTTTACAAGCAAACAAAACGAAAAAATAGAGAAAGCAGAAAACATTCAGCGCTGAAAAATGCATTCAGAGCCACGGCAATAACAAAAATGGCACACAGAGCACAGAGAAATTTTAATTGCTCAAAAAGCGTCGACAAGGGTCGTGGGGGAGCACATGTGCATGTTGGCTGGGGGACAGCCAAACTAAATTTGGGTCCGTTATGGGAAACGTTCCTTTTTATGACTCTTAATTCAATCAAAGCTGAATGAAATTAGGAAAGGAAAACATCAATTATTGTTTTCGTATGCCGTTTGTTCTGACAGATTTGGGATTGGGGTGAAGGATCAACGCTGGAACCCACCATTTACTCGGTACTTATGAAGTTTTAACCCTTACTTTTAGTATTGAAGCCATCTCTTGTGTGTTTATACTTGTGCGCATTTGTAAGCGCCTATTTGTGTGCAGGTGAAAGTGAAAGGCCGCTCCAAAGAAACAAAAAGAAATTCACAGAAAGTCCCACGCAAATGCGCACTTAGCGAGCCCTGCCCTTTCCATATCCTGTTTGGAATGCTGCTCCGTGTGTGTGCATTATCAGCCATGTGTGAAAATCAGGACATGCGCGTGAGAGGAAGGGCTTTGTTTGGGCCACGTTAGAAACTAATGACGATAATACAGACTCGTCGCGCTGCTTTCCCTTATTTTTAATGCGATATTCATCACCGGGTACTCCAGGGTTGACATTCAATGTGCAGCGGCATTTGAGTGTGAATGTTTGGATAAGCATTCTGAGTTTGTTCTCTATCGTATTCAGTTTGGGCGGCTACATTTTCGCACTTACTCGATATTTACGTAGTCGTCTTACACAGGAACTTCAAGTTGAATTGATACAAATCTACGATGCACAGATTGGGTATTTCATTGTTTTTGGCAATCGCAACGACGTGCCGACCATCCGTTTCCCTGGAAGACGGGTGGAACGAGCTCTCCTGCCCGTTGATCCAGGAAGCTCGCCTGGAGTTGCTCTGCGGTGGAGTCTACACCGCCGATCTCTTTTTGAAATACAAGGACGCTCTGACTACCGTTAATGCACCCTACAAGGTCTTCTACCATCTCCAGAATGGGTTCTACTTTCTGCTGGTTAGCTTCAACGAGTCTCCAGTACAGAGCTGTGAAAGCACGATCCAGCTGAACGATGGCTTGGACTTCTTTTGCGGGGACGGTGAATCGCCTTTGAGACTGCCGGACTCCCAGGTATTTTGCCACAGGAACATAATGAGCTACGTGGACGACTTGATATACGAGTGCACAAAGCCACGAATTACGCATTTTTTAGGTGCGGAATGGGAGGGAGCAGCTGCGGTCCACTATGCTGCCAAGTCCAAAAAACTTAAGCTGGGTTCTGCTGCCGGAATGCCTGGCTTAGAAGCTTTGCTGCCCTGTCTGGCATGCGTCTTGCTTCAAAAGTGAGGTTGCTGTCAACTGATATATTCGAAACTCTAGTAAACTCAGTCTGGTCAAAATGCGTTTCTGCTCCATGTTCGTGCTGCTCTACATAGTGCGTAAGCTGGAGGAGGCCAAGAGTGGACGCGACCTCAAGGAAAGGCTGGCGATGGGAGGATCCTCAACCCGACTCCTACAGACGACTATTTCCAAAGGACGGAAGAATAAAGAGCTCTTCCGAACCTTGCTCAAAATTATTCCCAAGTGATTTTCCCCTTTTCTTCTGTCAGTCAATAAAATATAAGAGAAACTTTTCACTGCGTATGCGATTTGCGACCCCGACTTTAACCCCACAGAGCTAATGACTTTGCTTAAAGTCTCTACCCCGCAAGTTTTGAGTTTTGCGGGTCCAGTACAGGCCAATATGGCGGCAGTCCATATAAGCACATAAATTACGCCAACGCCAATGACAATGACGACAATGAAATGTGATGCCCCCTCCTGGGTGCCTGAAAATGGCAGTTAGCCGTGCCTGTGTGTGCGGCTGTCCATGCCTGCATTTGGCTGCCATTGTTGGGATGTCTAAAATTTCATGCCACAACAGCAATGTCCAACTACAATGGACTCTGCTGAACTGCTAGCCAGAGGTCGCCGCCCATTTTGTTTATCCGAGTAAAATAAGCAGCTTCGAGATAATGCATGCAATCACGGGGCAAACGAGCCGCAGACGAGGAGCGAGGTGGCGGCGGACTGGGCGACAGGATAGTTAATCCACAGCCGCAATCTGTGTCGCCCACCACTGATCGACGGTATAACTATTCGGAACCATTTTATTGACATAGTAAAATACCAAAATATCGCGATAGCAGAAAGGGGATCGTGGTCACAAGGAGGGGCACAACCGCGGGGCATTGCAAGCGATGTCCTGCCCCATCCGTCCTCCTGATGTTGTCCTTCATGTAGGCGATGGCCACCGAGATGGGCGGCGATCCCTCCTCGCTCGGCTTCTTCGAGCACGCATCGTACAGGTGTGTGGTATAGTGGAACGGGAAGTTGATGCAGTGCAGCCGGGCGGCCTCCGTATTCGGCTCGATAAAGTTGCGCCCGTCGCAGTAGAACTTGCCGCTGTTCATGACCACCGTGTAGCAGTTGAAGAGCTGGGAGTCGTAGAAGGAGATGAGCAGGTAGGACGGGTCGTGGGTGTCGGACCGCTTCCAGATGGCGTACGGCGTCCCGATGGCCGGGATGCGGTCCTTGTACTGCAGCCGCATCTCCTCAACGTAGGTGCCGTGGCAGACGAACTGCAGGATGTAGCCCTCGAGGAAGGTGCAGTTCTCGTCCTTGCATAGGGCCGGGGCGGGTGCGAGGATGAGCAGGAGCACTAGGAGGAGCACTGGCTGGAACACAGGGAGCGGCGAGTGGGGCTGGAGCTGGAGTTTTGGCGAAGGCGGAGTCGGAGTCGGTGGCCTGCGGGGCGGCCGCAGGGCATGCCGAGGATGCTGGGGATGCTGGGTTTGCTGAGGATGATGGAGCGGCGGACAGTCGATCCACTTGTTATTCAGACTTCGTGCGCTTGAGAGGCGCACTGGCATTGCTTATAAGCAAATGATTCTTTGATCATTTTCGAAAAATTTGATGGGAATTTCCAGGAGAATAAAAACGGTTCCGATCACTTGTCTCCCGCTTGACAGAAGTTTCTCTCGTTGCCCCCGCCCTGCGATTCGCCTCTTACCATCGATGCCTGCCGAGGGTCCAAGGACGAGGTCGGTTGGCCCCGGAAGGGATGTCCCGGTTGGGGACCCGCCTCGCGTAGTGGATGGCCACGCGATCGATCCTATGCTTGGGGGACAAGCCACAGTGCTTCATCAGCGCCCGCACATAGGAGAACGAGAACTCGAAGCAGTGGAAGCCCTCGGGTCGGATGTGGATGCCGGGCTCCTCGGTGTCTGAGCAGTGAAGACAGTTGAGGCTCAGGCTGACGTTCTTGCACGGGGATATGGGGGACTCGTAGAAGGAGACCAGCAGCTCCAGACTCGGCTGTCGCCTCCACCAAAGAAAGTAGGGCACGTCGGCCTTGACCCAAATGTCTCGGTAGTTCAGCTTGAGGTCGGTGCTGTACTCGGCCTTGCAGGCCAGTGTGAAGGGAATTTCGTTTTCCAGCATAAACTCGCAGGAGTCGAAGGAGCCCTCGGAGGAGGACAGAAGATATGCGAGTGGCAGTATCCACAGTTTCCCTCTCATGGCTGCCTGAGTGGGGTCTGAAACGGGTATGGATGTGTACCGACTGATAAATCATGGCTGACATTTCGGCATCGATAGTAATCGTAACCCAAGTTTTATTGAAAATAATCAACACTGTAATTTGTACTTGTAATTTTGTTGTTTAATTGGTACGAATCTATGTATTATCAATAAATAGTCTTCGCATACACGACAACCAGCAACGCCCTAAGCAGACTGAGTGTTCGAGCATCGTTCTTCACGGCCTCGGGGATTTTTACCATGAGGGAACCGTAGAACAGGATCGGCTTCTTGGTGACATCGTCTCCATCACCCAAGTCTTCTCCAAGGCAATGCCTCTCCAGCTCTCTCGGATAGCGCAGACTGAAGGGGAAGCAGTGGAGTGTACACGGTGAGACAAGAATGGTTTGGAAGGATCCGTTCCCTGAAGTCCCTACGAAGAATTGGCTAAGCATAAACACATTTTTATCCAGAGCGATGAAGTCCAGGCCTGACAGTTGCGGGCAGTGGAACGTAATCAGGACCATCGAAACGTCGTCGTCGTCCTCCTCGCTGTGCCACACGGAGTAGGACGTTCCCGCTGGTGCTCGGTTGTCCCGAAACAAGGTGTACATATCATTAGTCACTTTACCCTTGCACACGAATTTAAAGGGTATCTCGTAGACGAGTGAGCAATTTCCTGAGCTGCGGATAGCACGAATTTGAAGAAAGGGCGCCAGCAAATATACCAACAGTCCAACTAAATTTAAGTGTAAGCGCATGACAATAAATTTCTTTTATTCCTTATAGGTTTCCAATTCTAAAAACAAGCGACATAATTAGCAAGGCTATAAGAACCTGGTAAGAGTGATATCACTATACGATGCCAAAAGTAAACCGCAAAACAAATTCGGTGTGTTAAAACCATTCGGTTTCACAAAGTTCAGCTAACATTTTTGATCATCTTTAAAAGGCAAACTTATTCTCGGTTCCAAAATTCTTTATAATATACCCATTGCACTTGAGCATTTTTTAAGAGGAGTGATGTGTGTTGAGTTGTATATATTAAATCCTGAAAAACCCGTAATGATAAATTAAATCGAAAATACTTATAAGCTGTGATGGTTCATTGGTGTACCAACTAAAGGACGTGTTATTAGGCACAGTAAATTTAAATGGCCTTTATTATTTTCAAGTGTATAAACAAAATGACAGCAAGCAAACTTTTCGTTCTCATTGAAATGCATTCAATTGGGGAATCAATATTCAACAAATAACCCCAATAAAAGAAAAAGTTTTTCCGTTCGGGACACTTTTATTCCGATTCATAGCCGCATGTCATGTCGATGATCCTGGACCATGACCAACTTTGGAAAAAGTTTCGAACAACTTTTGCTAGTAAAAGATGTTAAACATGTTTCAATTTAATTAAAATAATTAAATCTTACCGCAAGGTATTCAATATATCTAATTTACATAAGCACATTCTGCAGGGATCGAAAAAAAACCATTACGAAATAATCGAGAGCATGAACTCTCTCATATATGTGGGAATCCCCGTCAGACCAACCAAAGACTATAAGATATAGTCTATATTATCCTTAACCCAACCCACCACAGATAAGCTTTATTTAAATAACTAAAACTAATGCCCAAATAAAGCTATCAACATATTATAACAAAACTACAAATAGTGGGACTTCTTGTTCAAATAGGAAAAACCAATCGATAGGTAATGATAAATAACATTGGAAATAACATTTTTTAATTCGTTCTGAATTTCGAATTTAATTTCATCAAAAGCGGACGACAATATCATATAGCTGCCATAGGAACTATCGGTAAATTAGTGGGAAAATTGTATTAAACAAATTTTAGCTTCAGTGTTTTTTGACATATTATCTTATACTATTTGGAATATCATTATACCCGTTACTCGTAGAGTAAAAGGGTATACTAGATTCGTCGGAAAGTATGTAACAGGCAGAAGGAAGCGTTTCCGACCCCACAAAGTATATATATTCTTGATCAGGATCACTAGCCGAGTCGATCTAGCCATGTCCGTCTGTCCGTCTGTCCGTCTGTCTGTCCGTCCGGATGAACGCTGAGATCTCGGAAACTATGGGAGCTAGGCTATTGAGATTTGGCGTGCAGATTCCTGAGCTTCTTACGCAGCGCAAGTTTGTTTCAGTAGACTGCCACGCCCACTCTAACGCCCACAAACCGCCCAAACTGTGGCTCCTACAGTTTTTGATGCTAGAATAAAAATTTTAACTGAAATGTATTGTTCTCACCAATACCTATCGATTGACCCAAAAAAAGTTTGCCACGCCCACTTTAACGCCCACAAACCGCGAAAACCTGTGACGCCCACAATTTTCATGCTAGATAAAAAATTTTAACTGAAATGTATTGGTCTCGTCGATACCTATCGATTGATCCAAAAAAAAAAATTTGCCACGCCCACTCTAACGCCCTAAACTCTTAAATCTGTATACCTCCGGTAGGTGGCGCATTTTAATCTCGCTTTGCTGCTTGCATATCTCCATATAGCTGAGTAACGGGTATCTGATAGTCGAGGTACTCGACTATAGCGTTCTTCCTTGTTTTTTTTTATTTTTTTTTAATGAAATTTAATTAAAATCGGACGACTCTAACATACAGCCGTCATAATGAAATTTTATTTTTTTAAAAAATCTTTCTTTATTGATTTTGATCGTATATTTTTATACCCGTTACTCGTAGAGTAAAAGGGTATACTAGATTCGTCTGAAAGTATGTAACAGGCAGAAGGAAGCGTTTCAGACCCCATAAAGTATATATATTCTTGATCAGGATCATAGCCGAGTCGATCTAGCCATATCCGTCTGTCCGTATGAACGCTGAGATCTCGGAAACTATGAGAGTTACAATACTGGGATTAGGCACGCAGATTCCTGAGATTCATGCGCAGCGCAAGTTTGTTTCAGTACAGTGCACGCCCACTCTAACGCCCACAAATCGCCCAAAACTGTGGCTGGTCCAAAAAATTTGTCACGCCCACTCTAACGCCCATAACGCTTAAAATCTGTATACCGCGGTAGGTGGCGCCATTTTAATCTCGCTGTGCTGCTTGCATATCTCTATTTAGCTGAGTAACGGGTATCTGATAGTCGAGGTACTCGACTATAGCGTTCTTCCTTGTTTTTTTTTTGTAATAATTATAACTGCAAGGGTATACAAACTTCGGCTTGCCGAAGCTAACTTTTTTTTATGTTTTTAAGAACATTTTAAACGGCATCATAAAATACATTGTTTTCCATGTACATTCTACTTATAATGGTATATTTCATTGGTCACACTAACAATTGGGGTTGCGACCATTTAACTATTATATTTTTAAATTTGGACAATGGAATTTTTAATGTGTACAAATAACGGCTGTTTATGTTTTCGACCGAATATAGTTTATTTGTGTATTAATTCTTTGTTTATAAAGATGAAGTACAATTATTGCAAAAGTTCGTAGTGCGCTGAAACAATTATTTATATGCATTCTATTGATATTCACATGCAATAAATCTGTTTATAATAACGGAAAAAATATTTTTTAATTTTATTTCTCAAAAAATAACAATTGTTGCGAACAACTGTTTTACTTTTCATACATTTTAGCATTCTACCCCTGTCACTCAATCTGTTCTTCGAGTTCACTGCAGCAACTACGTGCCAGAGGAGATGATCGATCGGAGGAGGCCAGCAAAAGTAAAAAGGAAAATTCGACAAATTGATTTACATGTTCTTGTACTTGCAGCCATTGAAAGGGCTGCAGCAATAAAATGATTGGGACTCGGAGGAGGGGGCTGGAGGAAATTTACTTTCAATTTCGCCCCGATGACAATTTCTCCGATTTAACTCCATTTCATGTGAGTTGTCGGGCTGGCCCTTGGTCTTCCTTTGCCTGCCTTTATTAAATTACAATAATAAATGGGGTGCGTATGTGCTCTGCAAAGCTGCGTCTTGAGAACCGGAGTGACAGCCAGTGTGTAGCGCAGGTGTATTGTCTGGCCGATACACAAGCCCGAAGAAAAGAACCGAATTAAGCCGGGAAAATGCCAAAACTGCCAGTGAATGACATTCCGAGCAGAACCCTTCTGGCACATATTCAAAGCTGAAATTACAATTCCATCTTACCATTCGCAGACTTTGCTGCCGGCATAGCGCGCTGATGTCCTTGCTACGTCCTCAAACCTCCTCCGCAGTATCCATCGAGCGGCCTTTGTGCCGGCTTCATTGTAATTTTAATACATGTCACATGATTTACAGCTGACGATGCCTTCGGCACTTCTCCTCCCACAAGCTTCCCCAGGTGGTGACAGCTTTGGCTTTGCTTGGCTTCGCCTTGCGCTGACACATTGCCAATACATAAAAAGATCCACAATCGCTGATTGCAGGTTGTATTAGCAGATGAAGCATTGACAAGCCCCAGTTGCGAAACTCTAAGGGATCAGACTGCTCAAAAAGAGAAAGCGGTCTTTGCTAACCATATGAATAGTAACAGTAAATAGCATTAAACTATCCGATAGGCACCATTGAACGTACACTTTTTATAATGAATGGTAGTCCAACATGGCATCTTAGCCACCAACCTGCGGATGAATCCGAATCAAGGAGCTTTAACTACACGGACAGCGCCAACAAGTGGTGCAGAAAATAATTCCATTAGTAAAATAAATAAACAAAGGCCAAATGAATGATTGAGCAGGTACAGTCGCCGTATTCCCCGCCTGTCACGCCCAGAATGGAGCGGACAAATCTCAAACCTGAAGGCGTCGCGTGCATAAACCAGATGCAAACACCCCACCGTACGAACAGTACCCTCCGCTTCGCTCATTTCGCCGAGTCTCCAAGGATGTCACTCGACTGCGGCCGGCTGAATACATATTGCATGAGCCGCCCAAGTGGAGCGCACACATATTGACCCATTTCGATGCTGCCAGACAGCCCCGCACCCAGTCACTCACACGGCACCTGGGCTAAGGAGCCCGAGTAGTTTCGGTTAATAAAGTCAAATGCCACCAAAATCAAAAGGAAAACGCCACTTACGACTAATGGCATCACGGCATCGGTGGCGAGATGCCACGAGGACCTCATCCTGTCACAACTATCCTGCTGCCACCAGCAGCCACAGCAACAACAGCCACAATGGCCCTTGGATATCTGCCAGAAACCTAGGGCCGCTGCCAAGTTGGGGGAGATTTGGGGGATTTTTAATTGTATTAACATCGCGCACAGTGGGCCAAATAAGAGTGCCGTAAATCATCATGAAAGTATTGGGGGAAGGAAGAACTAATTGAACTTTGAAAGTGTATTATGAGTTACATATTATTAAAAAAATTTGTGTCTGTTAACCTATTTTTCCAAATATAGAATTAATTTCTTATAATCATGCCTTGTATTTGGCTACATTGTTTATAAATTT